TTACTTAATGTTTTTAAAAATGTTTTGCTTTGCCTGATTTTTTATCTATTCTAATTTACATCTTTAGTTCTTAGAATTTCCAAACAAGATTCTTTTTAATGTGAAATTTTACCACTATTAATCCTGAGAAGAAATCAGTATACATAGTCACTTAGCAATACAACATAGAAATAAGACAGATATCAAAACGCAAGGTTGATTAAGAAAAATATAATTTAATTCATAAGGAATTAAGATTGTTCATGGAAAACTTAACTAGTTTTTATATTGTAGGATGGTACTAATTTAACTGAAGTAAAACCCATTTTGGATTTATGTAAAACCTTAGGATTAATAGTGCCTTCAAATACATTAATATAATTTTCCTGTATTGAATAGAATAGTTTTAATTAAACTTTACTAACCCTTTTGGTTTAATCCCTGGAGCTAACTTATAAATCAGTAAAGGTTTTAAATCAAAGTATAAAAATCCTCAAAGCTAAAAATTAAAGTGATAGCTATGGAGAAGAGAGGGGATCAAGATTTCACCAAATATGTCTAGTAAATTATTAATACTTCATATATTATATATCTAGTATATATAAACATATATTCACATGTCTTAGTTAGTATTTCTATTGCTGTGATAGAACACCATATCCCAAATCATCTTCTAGTCCGTCACTAAAGGACATCAAGGCAGGAACTCAAATTGAGGACCTAGACCTGGGAGTGCTGCTTACTTGCTTGCTCAGTTTGCCTTCTTATACCACCCAAGAACACCAGATGAAAGCTCGCACCACCCACCGTGAGCTGAACTGTCTCACATCAATCATAAATCAAGAAAATCCACCACAGGCTTGCCACAGGCAACCTAAGGGGAGTACTTTCTCAACTGAATCTCCCTCTTCCTAAATGTCTCATTTTTGCCAAGTTCACATAAAGCAAGACACTTCACCACACATGTATAATCATTAAAATGAAAAATTGAGGAAAAGGTAATTGTGTTTATAACAGGTACTTTTTAATGTTGAAGATATCAAAATCTGTACGGCTATAAGATTTTCTTTCTTGAGACACACTTGTATGTTAGTCACTAATTAAAGGATCTGCAGCCTTAATATTCATCACAGAATAAAATAATTTGACTGTAATATTTTATTAACTTCACTGATAATAAGGTTATATCATATACTATTTGCTTCTGAACTTCAGATTTACAAGAACTTATATTTGGAAGAAAACACTGTACTTTCTTACTCTACTTGCTTGCCTCTCCTGTCACAGCAATAATAGCTAACTAAATAACTAAACAAATTCAAATAAAAACAGAACCACTTTCAAAATCTCCAGGCAATGCTTCATAAGCTTCTCCCACAAAAGTACCCCTAATGGAAGCGAAGATTGAACATGCACCCCTAGGGATCTGCTGCAAGTGTGAAATTTCTTTGAAGTCATCTGTTTTATTTTAAAAATTCATGTGGCTTTTGCATTCTACTCAGTAATATATATCTGTTTTAATGTAAAAATGATGTGTTTTCTTCAATATCTTTGAGTTACAGAGCTCTAGGAAAATATGCTAAGTTGTTACCAAAGGCTTGCTTCTTCAAGAAATGCATAATTTTAAAGCTTAGCTTGTGAAGAATAAAGATAATTATACAAATAAAGGTTTCCCTACATTTTACATAATTCTTTGTTTTTCTTTCAGCTCAAGGTGATGGCATTTCCCTCCATTATCAGCAATTTGGAGGCCTATGCTTTTAGTACTGAGTGAGAATATGCCTGTTGTTTGCCATACTAGACAGAAAACATCATTTTCTTATAAAGTAAGTTCCTGAATTCTAATAATCACAAGAGATAGATACTGGTGGTTATACATTTGTTCATTATATATGAAATGTTGTACATTCATTTATTCAGGTTTTCATTATTCCTGTACCTCCAATTAAAAAAATTGTTCTGCCTTTTAATATAAGGGGATCATTTCACAAGATGATCCATTTTCAAAAGCAAATTATATAGTGTTGATCTATTTTTTTACTTCCACTGGGAGAGTGTGGATATGCATACAGTATATGAAACACAGTAGTGAATGTAACAGAATATGACTCAAAAGACCCTGAAATTTATGTTTAGGAAGCAAAGACAAATTAGACTCAAATATTAAGGACAGGTATTTAACTATAAACAACACATATATGACTTGACCTTTCCCCATTTCTTTTTTTCCCGTAGAGACTACCTTAAAAGTATTTTCTCCTGAGGCTTTGGCAACAAGACATTAGGAAGCAAGGAAATGGATTTTGAACAGTGTTTTGGCAAATGATAGTCAGTTGTCTTAGAGGACAAGGCAGGTGAGATTTTCAGGCAGAGGATGCAGCAGGAAATTGTACACACAGACAGGATTATTATAAAGGAATAAAAATGGCTCAAGAGAATATATGTCTGGGTACACTGAAATGAGAACTAGGAGGAAATGAAAGTGGGCCGCAAGCAGGCAGGGTGTGCTTAAGAAGTTTTTGAGTTGAGAACTCTTTGAATTTCACAGGGAAAGAAAAAGAGCTAGTCAAAAACAAGTGAAGAGTAGGGATTGCTGCAGCCCAAACAGTGAGATAGGAAAAGGGTATTTGGCAACAGTCTTGTGAATACACTGGCTGGGTCAATACACAAAACAAGTAATCAGAAAAAATGGGTGAATTTGACAGGGGAAAATAAAGTAATGAAAATGTTAAAGAAAGATATGAAAGGATTTATCAAAAAGCCCAGACATATGAAAGAAACAAAGCTGAATAGACTGCATGTTTATCTGAACTTTGAAGAGCTATAAGACATATCTAAGATCTTTTCTTCTAATCTAACAATCAAAACATTGCAATGCACTTACTGGTGTCTCAATTGTTAATACTACTATCACTTTCAGTTCTAATGACATTAATATAACAGGTGTGTACTTACTAAGATTTTACTGTATGCTTTCTATGTTAGTTTACGTATTTAATCTTAATGTTATTGACAATCACTACCCTCAGTGCTCTAAAACTAGCAAATAATACAATTAGAATTAGAAATTTATAATATCTTAAAAGGTTTTGTTCTGCTGTCTGCCTTTAGCAGTTGTAACAATAGCTAAAAGTATTTGATATTAATGTTTTAGAAACAGCTTAAAAGGTTTTGTTCTGGTGCCTGCATTTAGCAGTTGAAACAATGGCTAAAGTACTAATGATTTAGAAACAACTTAAAAATATAAGCATTATATAAAAATACAGTCATGTGTTATATAACAGAAATGTTTACCAGGTAACTTTACTTTTGTGTCTAATTAAGCATATATTTTAATATTTCTTTAAGATTACCAGAAAATACTGACTTATGGGAAAAACGCTATATTTTGAAGTTCCTTGATCATAAGCTTCCAAACCTATCAACTGTGAGAAATAAATATTTTTCCATTGTTAATTACAAAAGTACATGGTATTCTATTACAGCAAAATAAAACAGACTAAGCAGTATACCTTCCTGTGTGTATGTACAATATCAAAAACAGATATTTAGAATTAAACTCGATCATTCTATTTTATTCAAGCCAAGATATATGTTTTAGATAAGGTCACAACAGGTATGTTAAATACAGGAATTGAACATTATAAATATAAATTTGACAGGACAATTCATTTAAAACTAAAATTTATCTATTTCCTTATAAAATGATTCTACTTATTAGACATATGAAATTTAAAATATTCTGATATAGGACAATTAAAATAGCAAAATATGACCTAATTTATGAACTAGTTTGACTTGTGGTATTCCACATATTTAAATTATAATGTAATGTGCTAATGGTACATGTTATTTGCCAGTTTAATACAATCTCTATTTACAAAGGTACACATTAAAACCCAAGGGATTCAAAAAAGCTATAGCATACTAATAAATATAACTTTCTATTATTCTTTAATGAAGAAAATAATTAATACTATGGAATCACAATGAATCTTCAATAACTAATTTTGGTTCTTGGACCAGAGTGAAGGACATAGTAGAAAAAAATTAAAAAGAAGACAAGGGTCTGACTGGCAATTCCATAGCAGCAGAGAACTGTAGAACAATGCCCACAAGTGACATTCTGGACTTTCCAGAATATTCTTTCTAAAGACATTAACAGGGTTATTCAGTTTGTAGTAAGTTTGGGAAACATATGGCTTTGTGTCTGTCCTTTAAGTCTCCAAGTTACAGACTATAATCACTACAGTACATTTATTTCTCTTATTTAAAAGAAAAATAAAGTTTTTACTCAAATAATATCCAGAAAAGTATTTCACTGATCCATCCTCCTTTTACATTTCAATAACTTGTTAAGTGTGGACAATGTTGATGAAGCTACTCACCCTGCCTTAAAATTTCACAAGCATTCTGCTTCCCTCCTGTCATCATTTCTGAATTCAGTATAGAGTGATATGGGACCTGAGTCTGCATTGGATATTTCTAAGGTACCTACATTGCTCCTATAGGCTCATCAACTATTCCTTTCATCTGCCCTAAAAGACTCTGCTAGTTTACCTGGCACCTGTTGACATCTCTGGACAGCAATCCCTTTGCCATGTTGGTAAACCTCAGCCTCATATTTTACCCATCCCAAAGTCCTTTATTCTTTAACTAAACTACAAAACATTATCTTTAAATCCTTCTCAAGGAAAAATGTGTCAGAATCACTTTGAAATCAACAAAGTATGGTTCCTTTACTGTGTATGTTAAAATTCTTATCAACTTAAAAAATAGAATGTATTGTTTGGTTAGAGGTCCAAAACCTTCAATGACCTCGCACTGTTAAAAATAAAGAAGAGAGGTTATTTGAATGTACATTGGAGTAAAACATCAGCCAATCAAAACTATCTTTCCACTTTCTTACATCAACAAAGAACTCTCATGATTAATAGTGCTCAGAGCTTCCTCTTTAATCTTCCCATCATACTAAAACACACAGGCTAAGAACAGTCTCAAGGCAGCTGCCAATCAATTACCTTTGCTTGCACTTTCCACATGTTCCAACTCATCAGGAAACTTCAGGATATCTCGGTGTTTTTCTTCACAGATTTCAGCAAGAAAATGCAAAAGGGTTGTTTTTTGATCTGCTGATTTTGTATCTCTGATCTGGAAGGGAAAACAGTATTTTTTGTAATTATAATAGACATTTTTCTTAAGAAAGTCAACCAAATGTGTGATTATAGATCATAATGAAGCTCACTTGAACTTATTTTTTAAGTTGGCAGTTGCTTCTTAATGGCTTCTAGTGACATAGCCCAGGATCTTAAAATGAACTTAATATTTTATAAAGGAGAAAAAACACCAATAAAAGAGGCAAATTAAGCCCTAATCTATATTTTCAAAAATGTCTGAATCATAATGGCAAAATGAACTATTCTTTTTATGAGGCACGAACATTCATTTAAGTATTTATAGTAATAGCCTCAGTTAATGTGTGTTGATTCTAAGAACACTGTGGTCTTTGTATTATTATAATATATATTCTTAAAAGATGCATTCATTTGTGAGATTAAATTTATTTCTAGCTATCATCTATGCAAATTAACATAAAACAGTCAGCATCTTTTACATTCCTATACTTGCAGGGGCCATAAGAAAAGAAATTACAAAGTTGTTTCTTTCAGACTTATAAACCAAAATCAGACTACACAGACATGGAGACATGAAATTATTTATTATTTATTTGCTTAACATTGTATGATTTTTTTAGAAATACAATAGAAAAAAGATGTTATCAATAGATTGACAAGAATCTTTAAAGGATAGACCACAAAAATTTAGGAGGGAGGCTCTAATGTTTCCTTTTTTGGATCTCTTAAACTAGACACAGTTGCAAATGAAATCAGAGATTTACTTACAAGCAGTGATAAATACAAGACAGCATTTCACATTTTTCTTCATTTATTGGATGTTTTAATTCTATAATACCTAGATAATATCTTTCTCCACTGGTGTTCATACTGATTTGGGGTTTTAGTTTTAAGGATTACTTTGTTTAGAATAAAAACATCTTCATTACAAACATGTTTAGGAAAGGCTGCAGAGCATAATTAGGTAATTAATGACTAAAAAATCATACTATTTGTTAAATCAGGCATATATCAAGTCTGATTTGTGTTAAACCTTTTATTGACTATTTACATCCTGATGATGTGAACAATTATAAAGAACATTAGCCTCAAGATTCTATGAACAAATGGACACACAGGAAGCATAGTGTTCCGGTGTTCGTTATTATATTTCTTTGAGAAAATCTACAAATACAGTATTCCATATATGGAAAATATTTAAAATGCTGAACTCATGCTCATTCACCAAACACCTTTTAGTACTACAAGGTTGAATCCCACAATCCAAGGACAAGCTGTAAGAACAAAAAGCAACAGGAACCTCAAGGGCAGTTTATCTTAAGTAAGGCTAGCAGCTATAGAAGAATCAATGGAAGGCTCTGGTCCCCAAAGAGAACTCTTTAGCTGGGATCACTGTGTTATATGTTCACAAAGTGCAACATTCTTAAAGTATGTGGGACATTTAAAAAAACAATCCTTTATAACTTTACATCTGAGATTCCCCTAAATAGGTGCCAAGGTAAATTGCAGGAAAATTTCCCCCCTTCCTAACAGTAAGAAAATTGATTTTTTCCAAAGTCTGTGGAGACAAAGACATACAAACAAAGAAGAGAAAAAGGAACAAAATACTCATACACAATGTTCAAGACACCAAATTGCACCAGTATTTTACAGCTGTTAAAAACCTCCATAGATAGCATTGCAAATAAAACAGAAAAATTGTATTGTCATATGTTAATTTTATGCATTTCCTTTTTCTTTGTCTAGGGCTTTGCATTATTATACAGTAAAATCTTCCGCATCAACATGCATTCTTAAATTGCTGAATTTATACATTTGTGTGTATATGAGTGTGTAGCTGTCTCTGTGCTGTTTGCATGTGAATGCACATGTTTGAAGCTGCACTGGTCTGTGCATGCATGTGTTGAGGAAGTAACTCAACATCTGGTATCTTCTATAATTCTCCATCTTGCTTTTTGAAACAGGGTCTGTCAGTGAACATGGTGCTTGCTATTCCAGCTAGACTTGCAGGCCAGCAAGCCCTAGGCCTGCCTCTGTCTCCAATCAACAAGTGTTAGACATTTTTATTTTTGCTTGTTTTGTTTTATGTGCTTCCTAAGGATCCTGTTTCAGATCTCTTTAATCACTGAACCATTTTCAAGCACTGAAAACTGTTTTCATATTTATTCACTCTCAGTGCCACTAACAGTATAATTCTGTTTTGCAATTTACCATGGTCAATGGTTGAATCCACAAAAACAAATACAGGATAACATCTCACTTAAGCTTGTTATTATTTCTATTTAAATCAATGGGCCTCCTAGACAAAATATGCTTGTAACATTTTAGAACCATAACATTCCCTTCAAAGATGGGCAAACAGGGTGAAACACCTGCCTTCTCAATCTGAGAAATAGCTCTAGTTGAGGAGACAAGATGTTTAGTCTATATAGAAATACTTATTTTTGAGAAAACATCACAGATAGAGTCTTTTTGAATGTCTCAAACTGGCAGGAAATGATAACCAATAGGTGGTCTTTATAAATCTTTCTTTTTATGTATAATCTTCAGATAAATTCTTAAAAACTAAATAATATTAAAATATAATGCTAAACAATTTTCCTTAATGCACTGCATTACTTTATACTGTGTCTGCAGCATTTCTTCCTCTGTATCATTTATACACTACCTATAGTCTTTCCTTCTCAGTCCATGTAGTATTGTTCATTTTCAGCACAGAAGGCAACTAAAAGCATTTTCATCAATCCTACTAGTTAATGACATTTATCCAACAGATTGCTGTTGTAAGTAGACAAGCTGGATATATTCATCTCTTGGGTGTAGAACAGTTAATCTAATCTGAATATGTACAAAATCACTTCCAAATTAGCTGGGTTAGTTTATTAAGAGATAAAACTGATTTCTGTTTGTTATCTGATTACTTAAAATCATGTTAAAATTTTATATTCATGTCAAATATCTAAACAAGGAGGTAGCCAACCTCCAGCATGCCTAAGTCTCCGAGGTGAGTATGCTCCAAGCATTTCAAAGACTGGTGTAGCCAGAAGCAAAGTGCATTTTGGCACCTTTGTTGGTGTTTCAGGTTTATTCCTTCTTCAAGCTTCACTGAGGAAGGACACAGGACAGACACCTAACTTATTTTTATAAGCTACCAAAGGATTGGGAGAGGCTAGTCCACAATCACCTATTTTGTCTATATTTCAAAACATTAAAAACAAAATAGTAGATTCATAAAATATAAATATTTTGAAAAGCTGAAACTTTTGTATTATGTCTGTAACTCAACTTAGTGAATATCAATGAAAATGCAAGTGAATTATTGCAATAACCAAGAGCTGTCAGCTAATATACCACATACATAATAGTTTTAATTGAAGTCCCCTGGCCAGTAACTGTTATACACAAAGATTAATAACTAAAATTAAATGAATTCAATCTCCATAATCTTTAATAACATTCAGAAACTGTACATGAATACAAAATATCCTTGGTAGAACACCTATTTCTATGGCCAATTCTGTTCTCCACCCCCTCAAGATTTATTTATTTAATTTACACTGGTGTTTTCCCTGTATATATTTTGTATGAGAATGTCAAATTCCCTGAAACTAGAGTTACAGACAGCTGTGAGCTGCCATGTGGGTGCTGGGAATTGAACCCGGGTCCTTTGGAAGAACAGTCAGTGCTTTTAACTGTTGAACCATCTCTCGAACCCTTCTGTTCATCTCTTTAAAATATGTATAAATAAAATATAGCAAAAGATAATAAATTTTGCATGTTCAAATACAATACTAAAGCTTTAGTTAGAGAGAAAAATAATTAGTAGTCACCTAATTTTAAAAAGTATTCGTTTTTAGGTGCTTATGTGTTTGTGTGTATGCCACATGTATACAGGTATCTTTGGAAGCCAGAAGAGGGCGGCAGATCCCCAGGATCTGGATTTAAAGACTTCTGAGAACAGCCTAGTATGGGTACTGGGAACAAAACCCAGGTGCTCTGTATGGACAGCAAGTGCTCTTAAACGCTGAGCCATCTCCCCAGGGTTTCTAAAAGGTTTTACTGATTCTAACTCTAACTCATTCAAGCCTAGTAACTGTTGGTCATGGCACTGTTCTGAAATCTGGCTATTTACACACAGATTCCTGCACACGACCAGAGAGACAGAAACGTCTTAATGATCAACCACATTCAATCCATCTGTGAAGGACCTTGTCCAGAGGTAATTTTCTTTTCTTCTTGGACAAACCCATTTTTTTATTGTTTTGTCCTCAGTTTGAACTGAAAATAAAAGGGGGGGGGGGAATGAAAAAACAAAACTGGTAGAGCAACTTGTCAGAATGAAATTTTCTTTTTTAAAGTAAAGAAAGCAAATGTGGTTAATTTATTCACTACATAGAAATACCATCCTTCAGTTTCTTAATTCATGGCTAATAGGATTGCCTGAAAATGACCAATGTAAAGGATCTATTTCATCTAGAAAAACATCAAACCTCCAACCTCTTTCTTTTGCATACAAAGCCATTTATGTGCTGGCTCTTGTATTTTTTTATTGAAAATGTCACTTATTGCTCAGACTAGATTACAATTCCATAAATACACATCATATAGTCATAGGTTTGCACAAAGTGCAGTCTTTTTTGTTTGTTTGTTTGTTTGTTTGTTTGTTTCTGAGACAGGGTTTCTCTGTATTGTTTTGGAGGCTGTCCTGGAACTTGCTCTGAAGACCAGGCTGACCTTGAACTCACAGAGGTACTCCTGCCTCTGCCTCCCCAGTGCTGGGATTAGAGGCATTTGCCACCAATGCCTGGCTCAGTGTGTTATTCCTTGTTTAGAAACCCATCTTTCTCTCTACTTGTATTTATTAGTTAAATACCTACTCACACTTTAAGACTAGCTAATTACCACAGCTTCTGTGAGTACTTCTCTCCATTAAGAATGTTCCAGGTGGACGGGTGGTGGTGGCACACACCTTTAATCTCTGCACTCCGGAGGCAGAAGCAGGCAGATCTCTGTGAG